CTCGTCTTGGTACACCGACTCTTTCACAAAGTTATTCAACGAATGAAATTCTTTTTAGACTCACTCTCATGCTGCTCACTACCATCACATGTCAATTCGTGGAAGAGTCGTTTCGCTGAAAAGTCGATTCGCAAACGAGTCGTGTCGTGCTTCAAAACATAACTCAAACGTTTTTTCCTTTACCTTGTACTGTAGTTTGTGTTGTGTGATCATATTTGGCTTGCTGTTCTATCAAATATGCTCTCAGTTTGATATAGACCGCTTGTGGATATACTCGAATTAATTCTGTTAGCAAATCGCATGCACATGTATTTTCATTTCGTTTTACTTGTTCTAATAATTGTGGTATCCAAATAAGCCAATGAGGAGCTGGTATTCCTGTTGAATATCGTTGAATACATGTTGATAATGTAGATTTATTATCATCATACGTTAGTAACCATAATATTTTTGCAATATGTTTACGTGCTTTTGATTCAATTTGATCTTTACATGCATGTAAATAACATAGAATAGAATTTTCAATTAATGATATATTAGTTGGCTGTTGTTTCATAAGAAAATCACCCCATTGTATCCATGAACGTGCAAGTGTATCACACATTTGTGTTGATGAACTATACATTTTATTAGCATCATCTGTACGTAAACATGTTTCATATGTTTGACCTTTCAAACATAAATATTCACTAATCATATCTTTATTAAAATATTTTAAATTTGTTGAATCAATTAAATCAGAACATTCTTGAACATCAGTTGTACTCATTGTTGGAAATAATTTTAAATAACATTTAATCAATTGTTTCATTTTTTGAAATGTATCAACAACAGGTACATTAGGAATGGTTGTTCCAATTCTATAATAGTGAAAAATAATGAATTAATGATTTATTTAAATGAATAGAGAGATGTTTTTACCTTGATAATATATCTAAACAAACATTTGGCATATTTTGTTTTCGAGCTATTCTCGCTAATTGGATGATGGATTGAGCAATGGCATGTACACCAATCATCGCATGATTACTTGTTGTCTCTTTTTCAAATTGTAAACTAATTGTACTATAATGAAATTCACGCCATGATAAAACATCATTCCAATAGCTTAAATTATCATTTAACAATGGTAAACGACTTTTCCATATTTTAACAATAGCTTTTAATTCATGAATATTGGCATTACGAATATTGGCCGTTGTCGATGCGGCACCAATTCCATTATTTGCATTTGATGACGTTCCAGTTGTCGTTGTTGGTGTTGCTGATACTGTTGAACCGGTCACCGATGATGATTGCGTCGATGAGGCCGATGATAGATTTACAGTTGATTGAAGATTTAATAGAACTTGACCAGCTTCTTGTAGTTCAATGATACGTTGAGATGCTAAAAAAGAAATATATCCATAACAAAATTAGATGTTGAATTAGGATATCGCTCGTATATTAAAAATATTTTTATTCTCTTCTCTTTTTTATTTTTACCTTGTAATAATGTTAAATGTGCATTGGATACGATAAATGGTAAATGTTTCCATTCTTTAATCGCTAATTGCGTACAATATTCCACTAATCGTTCGGTAATTGTCATTGTATTATGATGTGATGTATCATCAGGTGAACACAATGTCAAATAACCACGATACAAGAGCATTTTCCATTGAAAATCTCTAATCATTAATTGTGGTAAATTATACAATGATGTACCATTTGTAATTGTATTTGTCGTTGTTGACGGTGTTGTATTTGTTGTACCATTTGTTGTTGTTGTACCTCCTCCATTTGATATTGAATCAATATGATTCAATGTTTCTTTCATCAATTGCCAATTACCTAATTTCCATGAACAATCAGCTAATAGTAAATAGTTTGTATTATCACCACTAGTTTTATTTGGTGAATTATTTTTACAATATGTTAATAGTGTATCCCATTGATTTAATTCTTTTGTACATTGTATCCAATGTTTCTCTAATAATGAATATTCATCTAATTGACATAGACGACTAGTTAAATCCGGTGAAATTTGATTAGATGATTCAATATTTTTAATTGATTGTGTATAACAATCATAGGCTTGTTTAAAATGTCCAATTTGTTCGTATAATAAACCATCCGACAAAGTTTTGTTTGATGATGATGAACAACGATTTAACCATAGTCCAATATAATAGTCTTCTTCATTCAATTGATCATATAATTCACATAGAGCATTTAGTGCTTCTTGATACGGATCAACCAGCGAGGATGAAGACGGTTTATTTGTTATATCCATTATTGAAAAATGACCACCTAAAATAAGATAAAGTAATTTAATTAGACAAACAGTAATAACTATCGGTTAAAACCATGACTCATTTTCTTCGATGAAAGAAAATTTTATTTCTATCTTTTGAACAATTTTTTATCCAATAAGATCTCACGAGATTTTTTTTTTTTAGAAACTATTTTGTATGAAGCAGAAT